GATAAGCGCCAATGGATGACCATTGATCATGATAGCCAGGCTTAGCTAAGTGCATCCCCATTTGGGAGCTGTCCCTTATCAAAAGAAAACATCTTTAAATCAGCCTGCATGAATAGTTTCTCTGTGGCTGCACCACAGAGATGAACAGAGAGATGAGGCCTTATTTGGGAAAGCACAGAAACACTTAATTCTGTCTTATTAACAAGCATTGCCACTACACCGTTATCCTTACCGAACTCCACTATCTTCTCCAAAACGCATTCACCTACTGGCTTCCGCGCCGGTTCACTGTTTCCGGGGCATATATATTTTGTTTCTTGATGAGACCCACCTGCGTCTCATTGTCTTTCAGACTGAGCCCTTTCCATCTGCGGGTCAGCTGGTTTCTCTTAGCGGCCATCTTGGTCACGTCTAAGTCAAGTATAGTGAGCAGATCGTTCCTAAAATACCTGTCCTGTATGACCCTTCCTCTGGTCCTCTTACATACCCTCCCCCTGAGATCAGCCCCGTCTTCGGGCTGTCTGGAAAAGAACAATGCATTTGGGAGAGGGAATCGACATTACCTTGTTTTCTTCCCAGTCTATAAACCGTTTGGAACTGAAACCTCTTGAGACTAAGGCCACATCGCGTAATCTGATCATTTTTGCAGAGGTTTTGTGTTCCTTAACAACCAGGTTAGTGGCGCATGGTCAGTATACAAGATAAATCGTCTTCCCAATAAATAATATCTTAAGTAATCCAGGGCCCATCTTATCACAAGACATTCTTTTTCTATTGTGGAATAATGTTTCTCCGCAGGGCTTAATTTACGGCTAATATACAAAATGGGGTGCTCCAATCCTTCAATTTCTTGCGACAGTATGGCTCCAATCCCAGTGTCAGATGCATCAGTTTGTACCACGAATGTTTTGTTAAAATTACGTACCTGTAACATCGGCTGAGATGATAAAGTCCTTTTTAGTTCTTGAAAGGCCCTCTCTTCCCTTTCTGTCCATTTGATTTTTTCAGGGCAACTCGTCTTTGTTAAGTCGTGCAATGGGGAGGCAAATCCTGAAATGAACCGACGATAGTAACTTGCTAATCCCAAAAATGTTTTTATTTGCTTTTTTGTAGAAGGTTTAGGACAGTTTTTAATTAACTATACCTTCTGTTCTTGTGGCATGATCATTCCCCTTCCAATCGTATAACCGAGATAATTGGCTTCCTGGGCCCCTAGACAACATTTTCTTGGATTAGCGGTTAATTCCGCTTTTCGCAAAGCTCCGGTTACTGCTCCCAAGTGAGGTCTGAGTATTCGGTCCATTAATCGCTGAAACGTAGAAGGAGCGCCGTGTAAACCAAACGGAAGGACCCGATACTGGTATAGCCCCTCCGGGGTGGCAAACGCGGTCTTGGCTTTAGCTTCTTTGGCTAGGGGTACTTGCCAATATCCCTTCGTAAGGTCCAGCGTACTGATATATCGGGCGTTACCTAATCGCTCAATTAGCTCATCTATACGAGGCATAAGGTATGCGTCAAACAACGAGATCTCATTTAATCTTTTGAAGTTATTACAGAACCTAATAGTTCCGTCTGGCTTGGGTATCAGTACTATGGGGCTAGCCCACTCGCTATGGGATTCTTCTATGATCCCCATTCTTAACATTTTTTCTATCTCTTCCTTAATTAGTTTCCTTTTTGCTTCAGGTACTCGATAGGGGGCCAGCCTTACCCTTTTTCCTGGTTCCGTGATAATCTTATGTTGAATGAGGTGGGTTCGACCAGGACTTTGGGAAAAAAACATCCTTGTTTTGCGACAGGAACTCTTGTAATTCTTGCTTCTGCGCCGGAGGTGTTTTTGACACATAATGATGAGCTGATTGTATTTATGAGCAATCTTAGTTCTTATTCTTTTAAACAGTGAGATTTCAGCTGCAAAAGATTGCACCAGAGACCGCACTAGCACTGCTTGCCATAGAAGTTCAGGAAAGGGTGAATTAAGCCATAATGCAATAATTCAGTGATCAGTAATAACAGTTTAAAATGTGAATAGATTAATGTATATTGCTGGAAATTTCAAAATAAAAGAGCCCTGTAGGACAGATTCAAAAGATAGAGAAATCGTAAGCTTTTTAAGGCTGAAACTAAAATTCAGTCTAACAAATTAAGGCAAATTAAAATTTAGGACATAAAAAGTGTTAGAGATGAGCAAAACATTTTAGAAATGGAGCTGGTGTAACTTTGAAATAAGCCAACAGAAAAAAGTCATGACCAGACATAGTGCAGAAGAGGGATGCAAGGACACTTGCAAAAGCTTAGATATACAAAAAATCAGAGAAAGCTGTGTGTTACAAAAGAACGTCTGAACCTGAAACACATTTGGCAGAGAGTGAGGAGCTTGAATAATCAGGTGCATTTTTGGCAGGGTGAGAATGAAGGTTTGATGGGATAAAGAGTCAGAAAATTAAAACACATGAAAAACAGTAATTTTATCAGAAAGCCTTACAGTATATTAATTAGTAGCAAACATGGTTTTCATGAAAGGCTTCTCAAATAGTTGAGCATTCAGGTAGATCGTGAGGGGAAACGATTTGTAAATGTATTGTGTTAAAGTAAGATTGTGTTATTGTGCAACACATAAAATACATTTTTCAAAGAAAGTAATTAATTCTGTCACTAATGGAACCACTAAATAAAGACATTAATATAGAAAATTAAACCAATGTTGGTAGAAGGATGAATTTAGGACTAAGCAGCTGTCAAGTTAAGATCAGTGTAAATTTTGTCACCCTGTTGGTGTAAGATGGTAACAGTGAAAACAGGTATTTAGAAATGACTCATTTCAAGAAGGAGATTATAATTATAAATCTAACAGGATAGGGAAAGCACAGAAAACATGTACACTTAGATTGATCAGATCAGTATGCAAAGCCATTTAGCAAAGAGGATGTGAGAAGAGTGACAAACCAGTATAGTTTAGATCTTTTTTTTTCTGAACCAGGTAAAATCTGGTCATGTTTCTCTATAACAATAACAATAAACTTTATTTTATATACCACATATCCAAGCATCTCAAAACAATATAGCAGGTGTAAAAACAGTTATGAGGACCACAAGTTACAAAGTAAATACATATAAGAAAGACAAGCAGTTAGAAGTGCTACCAAAGTTAGAAAATTGGGATTAATAAACCATTTGAAGACAACAACAACAACAACCCAAGGTGTTATTCAAATTAAAAATAACTATAAGAAGATGATATAATAATAAAGTATAATAATACATGTGAAATAAATTTTATTATGGTTAAAAGTCAAAGTCTTTCTGTTTCCTTTTTCATTGTAGCTCCATGTGTCTCCCTGTTTCCCACTGTCTCCCTTCATGACAGTTTCTTCTCATCTTTCTTCTTCCTTCTGGAACCCAAATTTTGAAGTAGCAGTTCATCATCCTCACCCATGGACACTCTGAGATGGATAATCACATGATGTTGTATATTACTGCTGAGCTGGGTGTTGTAGCGAAGACTTGGACAGAAAGATGTGGATGAGCTGTGCAGATGTTCAGCTGTGCTCCTGTCTTTTTGTCTGCAGCATGGAGAGATGTGGACTAACAGAGAGATGTTGTGAAGATCTGGCCTCTGCTCTTCAGTCTCAACACTCCAGTCTGAGAGAGCTGGATCTGGGTTACAATGACCTGGGGGATTCAAGAGTGAAACTATTGTCTGCAGCTCTGAGGGATCCCAACTGTAAATTAACTACACTGGGGTAAGTGAACACTGGTGATTTCTTTGTTTTTTATTTTTTTATTTAGATATGCTGAGACACAGAATATTCCCTTTTTAACATGCATCCACACCTAGGAATTACAAAATAATAAAGAAGCCGGACATATGCAAAGACAAAAAACTGCTACACAATTTTATACAAGTTCCTGTTTGTGATTATTGTTATTGGTTAATATCTCATTACTGAGAGATTCAAAATGCAATCTTTCTTATTTTGCCCATCTTTTTTACACACATATATATATATGTTGTTTTTGGTTTAGAATTCTGTGGGTAATATTCTTCATGAGATTTCATTCATAGAGTCCTTCTTCATTTGAACACAAGGTCTGTCCAGCTTTTACCAGTTTCAAGTGATTTATTTCATGGCTGCAGTTCTGACAGTTCTAAACAAGTATCTTTCTGCCTCTGAAGGCAGCTCATCTGGTGTTTGTCCCAGACAAAAAAGGACTCCTAATGAGGATTTTTTCAATATTTGTTTTCAGAATATTTCTCCAATTTATTTTCATACCAAAAAATGTTTAAGATATGCCAGGTATTCCCAGCCTTTCTTCCAGCAGTTAATATTTCTTCCAATACTGAATATTAATTTTTGACTCACATTCTCTCCATGAATGTGAATTGGTGGATTTATGTAGATTTGAATGGTTTTAGATTCTTCAATTGCTGTGGAAGTGACAATCTCCTTTTCTCATTTGCATCTTACTTTTAACTCTTGAGTATTCCTCCTCTGTTTTCTGATATTGTACATACTGTACATCTGAAAGGATGTAGCTCTGGAAGTAAGTTAGGTATGTGAAACTTATCTATTTGTTAATCTCTCATCTTAAAGTCACATTTACTTCTTCCAAGCTTTGAGTGTCCCCAGTGTTTTCTCCTCTCTCTCTATGCTTTGACCTTGCCTGTTTGACCACATCTCGGACGGATTCCTGTGCTTTGAACCCTGCATGTTAAATGACTCTCCTTCAGAATCTCCCTGGTGCTTTAATCATTTTCTCTCAGTTCAACCTCTGCCTTTTGTCCAGCAGAGCCTGCGCCTGTATTCAGTCTCCAGGATACTGCTTCCATCAGCTCATTGCAGCAGATATCACACTGGGGTCCTGGGTTCAATTCTAGACCTTGGGTACTATCCGTGTGGAGTTTGTATGTTCTCCCCATGTTTTTGTGGTGTTCCAGTTTTGTCCCAAAGTCCACAAACATGCTGGCAGGCTAATAGGCTTCTGGGAAAGCTGACACTGTTGTGAGTGTGTGCCCTTTGATAGACTGGCAACCTCTCCAGGGTTCAATCCTGCCTTGTGTCCACTGCTTCCTGGGACAGGCTCTGGGTAACTGTGACCCTAAATTGGATAATTGTTTATTAAAAGTGATGTTGATGGTGTTCAAATGCTACACTGCCTGCTTTGTCAATTAGCTGACAGTAAAAACGTATCTCTTTAATGTAAGACAAAGTCAGATTTCAAGGCTAACTTCAGTCTAGATTTATTTGGGAGGGAAAAAAACCTCAGGCAAAACCTACACCACCCAAACTCTCCCAAATATACAGTCTGTGCAGCTCAGCTTATAAAGCTTCAATAACCTGAGTGACAGCATACAACCTGAGCTATTCATCTCACTAAAAACATAATGCTTTCTTTCTTCTTTCTTTCTTTATTCTTTAGTGCCACACAACAGAATTCAATGGAATTTGCTTTCAGTACAGGAACGAAAACAGATGAGACATACAGTACATACAACATACAGTATACAGTACAAATTTAAATAAAACAGAAGACAGACAAACATCGTCACATACATATGTAAACAACTTTCCATGTACTGTAGCAGCATCATTATACAGTGGAATTCAGAGTTCATCGTGAATTCAGAGTTCGTATGGCACTGGGAAAGAAGCTGAGGTTGAAGCGGACAGTCCTTGAGAGAAAGGATCTGAAATGTTTTCCAGAAGGGAGAAGCTGAAAGAGATTATGAGCTGGGTGAGAGGGGTCCAAGATGATTTTCTTGGTAGAGAGATGAAATAGAATGGAGTTCACAGCCAGCAACTTTTGCAGCTTTGGACACAATCCTTTCTAGTTTGCCTTTTGAGTAGTTATCCAAGCTCCCATACCAGACTGTAATAGAGGTTGTCAGAACACTTTGGATTATGGCTGTGTAGAACTGAAGGAGGAATTGCTGGTTTACTCTTTGTTTTTTGAGTTGCCTAAGATCATCCTCTGCTGTGCTTTCTTGATTATGTGGTCAGTGTTGGTACTCCATTTAAGATTACTGTGTATGTATGTACCCAGAAATTAAAGGAGTTTGTGGTCTCTATAGGAAGATCATTAATGAATATTGGAAGTTTTGTGTTCTGGATGTGTCAGAAGTCAATGATGGTTTTCCTGGTTTAAGAAGCGTTGAGTATGATGTTGTTGTCCAAACACCAGGCTGTTCCCCAGTCAATCTTCTTTCGGTAAAAAGTCTCATCATTATTCGAGATGAGGCCAACAACGGTAGTGTCATCTGCATATTTGAAAATCTTGACAGAGTCATCCCAAGATGTGAGGTTGTTTGTGAAAAGGGAAAAGAGCCATGGAGATAGGACACAGCCTTGGGGAGCATCTGTGCTGAGGGTCAGAGAGCAAGATGTCCTGTTATTCACCCTGACAGTCTGTTGGCAATGTGTTAAAAAGTCCATCAGGTTACTGAATCATTTATGTAGATTGATGGTATTCAATGTTGAGCTGAAATCCAAAAAAAAAACGATGTGAGCATAGGAGTTTGGCTTCTCCAAAGGCTGGAGTATACAATGGAGAGACAGGTTAACAGTATCTTCAACAGACCTGTTGGCCCTGTAGGTAAACTGGTGAGGATCCAGCAGAGGAGATGTACAGTGCTTGAGATGCTTAAGCACTAGACGCTCAAAGGCTTTCATAGCCACCGAAGTTGTAGCAACGTTTCTGTAGTTGTTGAGGCAAGATATTTTTGAAGATTTAGGAACAGGTTTTATAGTGGATATTTTAAAACTGCGAGGGTCTTTCTGCTGAAGAAGTGAAGTATTATAAATGTTGGTAAACACAGGAGCCAGTTGATCAGCACAATAGCTGAGGGCTGCAGCTGACAAATTGTCTGGGCCTGTGGATTTCCTTTAATTTTGTTTTTTGAAGATTGCTCTTACTTCGTCGGTATGGATGGAGAAAGGAGGCAAAAGGATAGATGAAAATGAAGGTAATGAGGAGACCTTCACATCAGGTTTTTTGAAGCGTGCATAACACTGGCTGAGTTTATCTGGGAGACTGGGGTCGTCATCCAGTAAGGTGACAGAGTTTTGTCCTTGTAGTTTGGCTTTTCCTGAATTTTCCTCCAAACTGTTCTTGAGTTGTTGTCAGCAAATTGTTCCTCTAGTTTTTTACTGTAGTTGCTCTTAGCTTGCCTCACTGCAGAGTACTGTTCATATTTGGCTGAGATATATTCAGTCCTGTCACCCTTAAATAAAAGCCTTGTTCTTCTTACGGCGTAGGTCTTCCAATTCTTTTGAGAACCACGGTTTCTTGTTATCGTATGTCTTGAAAGTTTTTGTAGGAATGCATACCTCTTCACAGAAACTTACTGTACATAGGATGTAACAATATCAGTGTATTCATCTAAAGAGGCACAAGCAGAACTAAAAACATTCCAATCTGTACATTCAAAACACCCTCTCAAGCTTTCTATAGCTTCTGCAGACCACATCTTGACTGTTTTAACTTTTGATTTGATATTTTTTCATTTTTGTTTATAATTTGCGATAAGCAAAATTATTGCATGATCTGAATTTCCAAGCAGTGCTTTAAAATAGGTGTGATAAACTGGGTCCAAGGTGCAGCAGCAGTGACCTAGTGTTCCATCAGCTCTGGTAGGACATTTAACTTGCTTTTTACACCTAATATAAATCAAAGCATTATGAAAATAAATAAATTCTGCCATTTAAATCCAGTAATGCCAAAGAAAATAATTTGTAGTATGAAAGAAACTAAAAAAAATAATAGTCGTTTTGAGGGGTTAAGAGAAATAGCATGGTACCCTGACTTTAAACCACATAAAATACACGTTTTAGTAATGGTCATTGAGGGGCATAAGGAAGGTCTGGAACAAGACAGCATTACTGGAAGTACATTCATTCTTGCCGTCTTCATCCTTCCCAACAATGAGAGAGGCATCAGTTTCCATCTATTGAAGTCTTGCTTGATTTTCTAGCACCTTAGTTACATTTTAATATGTTTTCTAGGTTTTGGGTATTGCTAGGTTGCTAAACATTTTATCTGACTCCAATCCTATTGTAAATTATACATATTTTTATATTTCCAGGATATAGTTTCTCCAATACCATTGCTACAGAATTTCCTTTGTTTAATTGTGAAAACTTGTTATAGTCTGTTAGAACAGGAAACAATGTTGAATTTCTGCTATATAATATCATCATCTTTATAAAGAGCGTGATTGTGTGTTTCTACTGTTATATCATCTCTCTCTGTATCCTTCTATTGTCTTATACTCTGAGAGAATAAATCTCTGGTGACAAGCGTCTCCTCATATAAATTAAAGCTGTCTGACAGAATACCATCAGCCTGTTCTTGTGCATTTGGTTGTTTTTCCATTGCATGTAGACAAACAATAAAACCATGATGAAAACCAAATTCCTTACAAGTTTCAAAAAGAAAAGGCTTTAATATCCTGTCAAATGCTTTTTCTGGACCAAGAATATTTCCACTTCAGTTTCAGTTTTTGTGTTAAAAGATACAGTTTAGTTTAGCCTGATAAGACTTCCAGCCAAATTGTCAATTTTCACCTGGAATGATGTCTTCTCAAACATTTGATAATATCTCTGGGATTAAAAAAGTGATTATATAGTAGAAATATACAGTATACAGTAGAATCCTTAGATTTCTTACATGTCTTACTGTGTCTTCTCACTAGGCAGACATATCCAGGACAAAAAAACAAGAAACAAAGAAATGAGCAAAGCTC